GCAGCAGAAATGGTACTTGAGTGATAACTTCTACGTTGCCGTAGGTGAAAGGCAATGTAAGCACAAGTTTGCATAATCGCGACTAACACTCCTCTGATACGAATCGATATTTACAGATTTGTTTTTCAGTCCCATTTTAAATTGTGTATCTTCTTAGTCGACTGGCGCATAAGTAATAAAGTAAAATTCTATAGTATAAAGTTGGCTACTGGCCACTGCTATCGGCAGTTATTACGTAACAAATATACGTACTGATTCTGATTTTTCTGGGTGGTATTTAATGAAACTTTCTTTTTTTAATGATCTGCTCTTTATAATCCTGACTTCTATCCTGGTTCATTTCTATTACTGCTGGGAATGAATCATGGGAAGTAAACGAGAACTGTTTTTATAGGTGAACAGTATAGCCGGCTAGCGTTCATTTCCCTGCGCCATCTGTGCCAAAGGTCTCCAAATGGCTGATTTTCCTTACCTTTGAATTATATTGGGAACAGTTAATAGAATATACGTAATAACTTAATAATTGAATCCTCGCCTCGTTGTCCTTTGCAGTTCAGAAAATGCACTAATGAAGACGTAGCTGAATGGAAGAAAAACAACTTAAACATAAATACAGCTATAGACATCTATTAGATTTCATAGTTACCGAATGTTACCGTAACGAAAAATATGCAACAAATACAGAATGAATTAATGGCGGGATAACGGAAAGCAGATATAGAAAAACAAACCTAAAAATGGAAAAATAGCCGTATTTTAAAATCGCCTATGGAAATCGTGGTTTTGTCAAACGTATCGTACGTAGTTATCTAAAGGAACATCGTGCACTTCTGAAGTGAACTTGGTTGATAATTAGCTTACAGGTAGACCGCTAAATGATCTAGTACCAGGGTGGACGACAGAGCTATGTTGTTCGTGTTTATGTTCACGAATGCCCCTAAACAATGTCATTCCTGATTGTTGGTTCAGGACTTCTCACGCTTGACTCAATAAACCTTAGGCTGTCAACGGCTGATGCCATTGGTTCTGCTGTCGCCTCAAAAACTCAGCTCGGCAATGGCAACGCTACTGTTTCGTGCTACCCTAGGTAACATTCGGCGTTCAAGAAGCTGCACCATGAACTCGATCAGTTCATTGCGCCATATTTGTGTGACTATCCGTTACGATAAAAACGGTCAATATTCGAAGCTGTTATTTCCTCGTAGTCAAAAGATCAGTCCTACTGCTACTTTCTAAAATAACTGATTAAACATTTATCTGTTATCTGGCTGTAAGAGCAATCCGCGACTGTTGACGCCAACCCCTTTGTCCTGTGAACCTAATTCAAAACCTTGAATTCCGTCTCAAACCATATAGTGGGTTCCGGGAACACGTAACAAAAATTAATTGTAAACAAAGGTCAGACGCCCAAAAATTACTTACACTGTACTTTGTCAAGCGACCTTGGGTAATCCGCTTACCGCGTACAATTAAGATTTTGCTAAGCAATCGGCTAGATACAACTGTTGCCTGGCTCTAAAAGTCAACTTGTCGTTCATCTAGGACGAAGTCCGGTTTTACATTTTCCGAATGCGCACAAGCCGTATTTTGCCATAGGACATAGTATAGGCTACAACAGTGTTGTCGTTATTATTATTATTACCTAGGAACGGGTGAACAAACAGATATAATTTGCGACTAGTACTACGTATAAGACACTTGTTTTTCTATAGGGACGCCCATCTATTTCACAGAGACTGTCCTGCTGACCAAGTTTCTTAAGGCAAGTATAATTTTTACCACTATTCGCACACAACTAATCATTCAAAGTCTTCTAATTTCAAAGTGTAGTATAGTTATGAGACGCCATTGCACGCAGGAAGGGTTACAAAACCATGACAGAAAAACACTGTTTTCCAGAATGAAGAAACAATATAGAATACGTAAAATCAGATCGTCGAAGTAAACATCATATTTATACAGTAGACAGATTAATTTTAAGAAATATAAGCTGTTAAGAGATTTGTTTAAAACATCGTTGAAAACTAGTTCTTCAAGCTCTCAGCTTGATGTTACGCGTAGCGAAGTCCGCAGTTTGATATATTTATTGTGGGACACCTTAGGTAGGTTCGTAGTTGTGATCCGTTTGAGTATAGCTACAAAGTATGGATTGGAATACGATAAAATCTAGAATAGTCAATTATGGAAACATAAAACGCAGGCGGATCTAGGAGATGTGAGAGTGTCCTGTATACAAGGCCATCGATGGCCCCGACTACACAGTGAAGCTGCAGAAGACGACCGACTAGAATACATTCACTGATCAGAGTTATTGCACAAAGACGAGAAACACCACACGATAGGCATTACCATAGATGGCCACTGCCCGAGCCTTCGCAGGCTACTGATCATGTAACAATACAAAAAAAAATTCAGTCACTAACTAACTATCGTGTAAAGTAAATAGCTGACGTGGACAAATCTCGGAGATGTATTATCAGCATTCTGCTGAACGTAGATTAGACATCACCGTCGTTAGATGACATAGTGATGACATAGCATCATATAGGGAACCTCGAATGGTTCATTGAGTTAGGAGGTTCTAATTTATATTCGAGCTTTGATTGAAAGTAGCGCGCAGGTCTTTGCTCGTGGGAAATAGCAGTGTATCACAATCTATGTACTTCAAGGATTCAACAATTAATTTATAAATTTACTCGACGCAAATCTAATTAATGTTATAGATCCGTAGTGCAGTCAAATCACCCCTGCTCGAGATATATCATTGAACTCCAACTATAGCCTGATTCAATGAGTTATTTATTACTTTGGCGATAAAAGTGCACAAATGAACGAGTGTATGGTGATGAATGAAAATCGCTGAACGACCTTTGCAGCGTATCGTTGCGCCGCCTCGGCGACTTCTGCAAAGTATACGTGCCTAGAAAGCGAAACCGTCTCTACCGCTCCCGACCAACAGTATGATTTTCAGTTTTCCGTGATCAATCAGGATATCTGGTAAGAGTGTAATCACAAATCAACCTGCCTACTAGAGACCGCAGTTGACTTTCCTAAGACCATTCCTCAACAATAAACAGCTTGTATCACTCAGAAAACTATTATTGTCGAGTCCTTAAGCAACTGTCGCATCCGGACGAACATGGCTACCGATTATGGTGAAGTTTTATGATAGTTTAAGGCAAAGTATCGGGAGTCAGGTAAAGGCTGACACCCTTGAACAGCTTCGAAGACCCCGTCTCGTCGATTCATGTCATAGCAGGGTTGAACACAAGAGACGACGAGAGCATGTGCCAGTTAGTCGCAGGAACTGTTGCATGCGGTCAAGTGGCCTCATATCATCATATATTTTTCCCTAAATCAGGATAGTATAGACGCTGAATAAACACGAACTAGCTAGCGAGGGGGCGAGGGGGGTCATGCACTGTGAAGCACCGTGACTCATTTTTTTCTGTGCATCATGGCGAAACAAACACAACGTGACTAGAGGCCCAACCAGATTGGGTTTTGGGCTTTTACTATTAGGCCCAAATTAAATGAGCCGAGAAAGTATTGAATGCCTATCTGTGAAAGAATCGGTATTGGTAAGCAACACTACTAGTAGCTGTACGCGCAGAAGGCAGCCGGTAGGTGGGTCATTTTACTGATTGCCCGATTCGTACATTTGTCTCATCGTATCACTCTGAGCTGACTCTAGCCAGCAGTAGGCTATAGGTCAACAAACGAGAGTCTGTAGGCGCCACGGTCTAACCGACCAAGTCTTCGCAAGGCCACTAATATACGACATACGAGGTTAACATCACCTTCCGTTTTTTTTTTTTGAATTTACGTTTCTTTAACGTCCCTAATCGTTCCGTTTCTACAATTAGTGCATTAGTTAGTGAATCTGTTAACGACAGTGAGCAACTCAGTCAACCATATGTACTTTACCTATGAAAAATTTCGCCCACTCTACGAGGTGACTATGTGATCTACTTAACTGTTTACTTGACAAAAATGATCGACAGAACGATAAACAAAACCAAGGCCAGTTTATTACATTCGTATTTAGGTAACGATTTATCAGCATCTAGCCGCCGTTACTGCATGCGTTTACAAAGGCCATGATAACCTTTTCTTCGGAAAGTGGCATGGTGAAATTGTTGCCTGACATATCAGCCAAGCTGAGGCCTTGTCTCACCATCAATCATATAATTGAAGTCCACGGCTAGCTGAATATATGCTATCATCTTCATAAAGAATGATTCTCATCAGATTGTCCTTCTACTGCCTAATGAGCATTTGTTATTGGGCGTCTGATGCTTAGAGCAAGAAGTTGCTATTACCAGTTCTGTTCACCTTCATACGAAAAACTACCCCCAATAAAAGCATTAGTTTACACCAAAGTTCCTTGCCCATTACGGCCACAAAACTATTCGCTGTTCGAATTCTAATTAGCGATTTTTTGGTCTGGATCATTACTTTGCTTTCTGCCATTTTCTCTAGCTCATTTTGACTCCTTATTGGACTGTAGGAAAATGAAGACGGTATTTGTTTTTCTACGTTGAATCACAGTGCATACACACGTATCCAGCGATGTTTATCACCAACTGAAAATCGATTACCAGAGAGATTTTTCCGTGCTGCTATTGAAGTACGATTTTCCCTCTGAATCGGTAAACAATTTACCTCACAGCTATACCGATCTATTGCCTTTTGCGAATGACTAAGATCACCTAACCCTGATTTCACGATTGCGCTAAAACAAAGTAACACTACCGAATTCTGTACGTCATTCGACAATTGTTTCCCCCCGAATCATAGCAAAATACCGAGACGGAAAAATAAATGGCGTTACTTTCATTCTGCTGTCGCGTCCAGTCATTGCTCTATGCTAGCAGACCATTGAAGAAGCATCAGAAAGGAGGGTTGTTCAAGGGCTTTCTATTGGCCTGGCCTGCCTTGTTTCAAGCCGATATTCCTTCTCATTCACCCCATGTTCGAATGAGCTGCGCAGTCGGCCAGAAAGTTATCTCCCTCGTATATACTTATTTGATTGCAAGCGATTTCGCTTATAATAAATCGTCTCAAAGCAGCGCTCTATTGTAGTCGTTTATCAAGCGTCTTGGCTCACTTACTTTCTTCCAGGTTTTAGTTCGTCGAAAAGCCTTTTCTACTTTGAAGCTATGGTCTCAGAGTCGCTCAATATTGGTGCTGCATGGTGACAAGTGTTTGGACGCTTCTTACTCCACAAACGTGCGCTTAAAAGCGATGAAAATATCTGTTGACATGTGTACAGCCGTCAAATACGTTCTATTTGTGACCGTTGTGTGTTTTGACGCGTTACAGACCAGTATTGCTTGGTCAGAATCCCACATTGCAATTGACACTGAAACCCCATCGCCGCTGGTTACTACGCCGAGCAATGGGATGATTCGCGGAGTGAGAGTATTCTCTAAAATGGGACGCACTATCGATGCGTTCATAGGAATACCATTTGCACAGCCCCCAGTTGGCAATTTGCGTTTCAAAAGGCCTCAGCCAGTAAAAAAACACACCGGCGAACTAAATGCCACGAGAGCCAGACCTGGTTGCCTACAATTGGAGTTTAAGTATGGCAAAATCGCACGTATAGACAATACAGACACTACCGAGGATTGCCTCCATCTTAACGTGTTCGCGCCCGGCAAATCGGAAAGTGCCAGAGAGTATGAAGAAGACAGCGAGGACACTGTGGAGGACGAAAGATTGCCAGTGTTCATTTATCTCTATGGAGGAGCGTTCATTTGGGGAGAAAACCAGTTGTCGGTCTATGATGGGGTCGAGTTCGCAGCGGAAGCGGACGCGATCTTCGTGGCGGTCAACTACCGAGTAAATATATTTGGTTTTCTAAATTCAACAACTTCAGCTATTCCCGGCAACATGGCCTTATGGGACCAACTTATGGCCATGCAATGGGTGAGGGATAATATCGCTGCTTTCGGAGGCGACCCCAACGAAGTCACATTGGGCGGGCAGAGTGCAGGTGCCATGTCCGCAGCGTTTCATTCATACTCGCCGCTGAGCAAAGGATTATTCAAGAGGGCGTTTATGATGAGCGGTACTTCACTATCAGCTAAATTTACTCAACAAACTACGGCTGAGGACATGATACAAGCAATTACGCTTGCTTTGGATTGTTTTGATGCTGATCCCGCTGTCAGCATAAAATGCGTCCTTGACAAGCCGATCACCTACAGAGAGCTCGAGGGGCTCAAGAGGGAGCTTGGAACTAAATGGTACAACTTTGCACCACATTCAGGAGATGCGCTGTTGCCTTATCCGATTCAAGAACTACATCGCAATAAGTACCATATTAAGGACATGATGCTAGGTGTAACTCAGCGTGAAGGTGACTTCCTATTTAACGCCTTACAAGAGTGGCTTCCTAATTTGGCTGGCGGACTAGAGTCTTCGCCCGAGAGCACGATCCGTCTGCTTATTAAAATGCTATTCGGTGTCAGTATTCAGGACACTGGCAGAATATTTAAAGCATATTTGTTGCCCACCGACAAGGACCCGCTTCCACATGATAGGTTGCTTCAAGTAGGCAGCGATATTGTAAGCCACGGTATATTTGAGTGTCCGGCCCAGTTCTTCGCAGAGCATGCAGCGTCGCAGGGCGTTAATGTGCGATATTACGTCTACGCGCATATGCCGTCATTCCGGATTAACTTAAATCTCGGCCGAGAATCGACCCACAACGATGACATCCCATTTCTACTCGGTTCGATTAATGCTGTGCAGGAAAACATCAAGGCGTACGGCATGAAGACACCGAGCTTCTTTATCGACGTCCAGAAGAAAACTAGCCCAGAAGAGCATCATTTTTCAAGAGTTATCGTCAAACAAATTAGTCATTTCATGAAGACTGGGTAAGATAATCTGTTAAAATGCGTTACCAATTTCGCCGCACCTCAGCTGATAAAATGTTTTCAATAGATTTTTATAAATATTATTATTATTAGTTGGCTATATACGATATAGAGAGTTTTACCAGATATAGAAGATCTATCGAGTGCAGTTCTGCGAAAAACTACTTCGCTGTGGGTTTGATCACAGCCATGTTGGAATACCGGGTTAATTTTCATTACGTTTAATTAATAATGGCTCGAGGTGCTTTTTTTTCATGTTTTTAATAGCTGTTTGTTTTTGTCTTGCGAATATAGCAAGGGTTACTATTATTGTTAATAATGTTTTTTGTTATTAATGACACTTCGCACGTTTATAATAAGCCCTACAGCAACTATGTGTTCGTCCGACAATAGTAGAAAAATGGCCACAAATGGGTTCCGGCAAAATGATATTCAATGGATTTGTTCAGGCAAACATAACCCTACGTAAGACATTTGAATTCAGACGTGTGTAGACCCAAGTATCCCAAGCGACCCATATCTGTCACTTGTGAACTTATGCTTCGTTAGGAAGAGAACAGTCGACGCTTTAATTAGGACTATTTAAAACAACTAAGTGCTGCTGAGCTAAGAACTCCTCATATGTGACTTCAGCCCACACGAAAACCGTGTTTGGCCACCGATGCTGTTGCACGACTAGCTTATATAACAAAACATACTAACGCAGATATATCCAAATAGAATCGCACAACTTACGAATCTTTGACAGACGTAAATATTTATAGGTATACTCATGAAAAAAGGAACTAGGCTCACCGGGTTCGCAAACTAATATCTAGTTAATGGATTATTTTACAGGCCTAGATTCTGAGCTCGTTGCCGTGTGATAGGCTTAGGATTATAGTAACGATTTTTTAGTCCTTTCCTGTATAAAAATATCGATAGAGTTTATTTCAGTAGATTAATCAAAGTATTACTCTGTGACGCAATAGGATGTTGTCTCATGAGTGACTTGTAGAATGGTACTGACTAAAAGCTTTGAGCAGATTTGTAATTTCCTAAAACTCAAAAGGTCAGCCAGGAACAAATGTGCGTCTACTTCCAAATGCTTTAGTGTGTTGATACTAGAGGTTTTTCTTTTCTGGTGAGTCGTTTCGGTAATTGCTAAAGCATGTAACGCTAAAATGGATCCAGCTTTTGCTGGTAAAGTCTTTAAGGGAGGTACACCATTTTGGGGGTATCATCGTGGACTGACTTACGGCTTATGACAGACATCTGCTAGTGTCGCCTAAAATAATAGAGCACAGAGCAAAAATGTCGCACACATTTTTTGACGTCTGTCTCGTAGATGTGGAACTCATCTACTTTGGTATAATTTGGTTTTTAATTCTCGGTATCTACTTCCGCGCTGTATGTCAAGTTATGATGGCGACGGTTTATATTGAATGATTACCTCAAACGGTCCGCTATCATTTGTTCATATGTCATATGATTGCAGCAATGATCTGAGTATCGTGTTATTTTTTGCTCGTGAAATTTTTCGGCTTTTTTTTTAGGAACAACATTATTTTCAATGGGTTCCGTCGATTAACGGTACCTCAGACACTCAAACCAAGCAAGTCACATTAGCTCTATTCAAAAAAACTCTTCTGTAAGTAATTATGTGTCTCCAGAAATTATACAAATGGTTATAGTTTACTAATTAGTTTTGCTTAATTACTATTAACCTGCTCGGTATAATAATAATAATTATTTCTAGGGGCACTTCAAGAAGTACAAATCAAGTTCTGCCTGTATTACCTAGTTCCACAACCTGTGATTCTAAAGTTTAGCTAGCTGATTTAGATACACATAACAGTATTTCGTAGCTCTATTGATATCAGCGATATGGTTTGAAACGTGCGACCCCGTCTATTGATAGTCAACGGATCGAAGTACGGCACTGAAAATGCGGCAAAAATAGTAACATGGCCAAATTGAAATCAACTAATCATTGGGTACTTTGTGTATATTAAGAACCAATTGATCACTGACGCATAGAACAGAAAGAACGTCTCACGTTATTACTAGATACAGACACAACAACAGGTAACGGTTTCAATTCTTCCAATAATATAATTATACTTGGCGTATACTTCCAAATATTCTCTAGCCGCACTACTACTATACGTAAGATTATCGATTTCGTTGATGTTAGTGATGGCCTCTAGTTCGTAAGTTTCAGTTCTATGTTCTGCAGTGATTGTTGACGTTATGATCGTGCGTTAATTAACGTTTCGGTTTTTCTAAATTAACGGTCAGGTTTTTCTAAATTAAATTTTTTACAACCTTGCGCAGAACGTCTGCTTCTCAGCAGCTACTACTTACTAGTTCATCGTGTCATCAGCCTTTGCTTTTTGATTGCAAATCTCATTATGTCTTCTAATAAAGTATGTTACTGCAATAAAAGTTGCCCACTACCTATTGAAGGTTTCTGCTACGAAGCGAAGAGGTTCTCTTTGCTTAGTTAAAAACTACCACAACTTTTCAAAAATAAATGAAGAAGAAACCTAATTAAGGTTTCAACGGAAAACATTTTAAGTGAGGTATTAGTTAATGTTTGTCACAGGAAGGACTGCTCCTTCGAAACCATTTTTTTACCTATCTTAGTTAACTTAAACATATGATCGAATTCAACAAAGCCAAATTGGATTTTATGACATTATTGGTCGGGATAATTTTTCTCAACAATTTTCATAGTTTCAATCAGAGCTTTTGGGAACGATTTGTTACATTTCAGCAAACCACGTATTCCCGACTCACAGAAGGAGTGGCCATTGTATAGTGCTGAAGATCCACAGATCGTCTATATAGCACCTAACAACTTTACCATTGTTCGCGAACCAAAGACTGACAAGTGCAGCCTCTGGGAACCGTACATCCTCGTTAAGTATGTTTTCAAAGTTGGGATTCAGCTTCTGTTACTATTGCGCATGAACTCTTTAGGGTGATTCCGCTTAGGAATGCATTTTACAGAGACTGAACCTGAAGGTGTTTATTTCAGATTTTTTTTTTGCCTTAGCACTATTGTTCACGAAAAGCAATTGTAGGGCAAAATATCGTATCATTTGGACTGAATCAGCCCGGCTATACCTGTTCTAGCAACAAGCCTAAAGATTGCGAAGCAATGCTGATTTCTATTAGTACTTATGTTCTGTTGATGCAAACTCTGATCATAGGCAAAGATTCGTACCGTCGACAGAAGTTACGGTTATTTTCTAGTAATGATTCGGTATATTGTCCGAGCCAACTATATAATAATGCCTAATACTTAATCTATAGCGTGTTCAATACTGACCTTAAAAGCATTTCGTGTTGGACAATACGTGTACCGAAGAGTGTCGGCTGAGCTGTTGCAACAAGCGCGGCCATCTGCACTAACAAATTTGCATTATCGTCAAAAGTGTTTTAATTGTGTTAACTAGAAATATCAAAAAAATGGCTTCTTTACTGTATCGTAGGCCAGCTTGCCGATGCGTCGATGAACAATAGACTGTGAACCTCTTATACAGTTCCACTGTAGCTCGCTGATACCGATCCGACTAGCCTGGAACAGCCAAGCTAAAGTTTAACCGAGCAGCACTCGAAATCCAAATCAAATTATACTAAATACATCTATAAGTGTTGTTTCCATATGCAGATCTAAGGAAGGGCACAGCAAGACGACACTACCGAAAACCACTGCCGAAGAAGTCCCTTCGATTGAAGCTGATGAATCGCACGCGTCCAGGCGTGACAAGGTCGGCCACCGGATGCACAAGCGAAACCAGTCCGCCGCGTCCGTCCTCGTTAGTTCGTCCTTGCTACATCTGCTACTCCTGACGACACTGCTCCTTCGAGGTTATTAATTATCTTGCTCGTTATATTTCAGGAGTTTTGGTACGCACACTTATGAGTGTCCGCCTATGAGGCGAGTGGAAACTATAGCCGACTCAAGGACAAAGATCGAAAACACTGCAGACGTTCAAATTTCCTATTCATTTTTCCTAAGACTTTATAATTTATGTCAATTCGTCTTAATTTATGCAGATCCGTAAGACTGCTCAAAACGTCCGCTATTAATCGAATGTCAAACAAATCTATTGTTGCCCTTCTTGTTCGTTCCATTATTTGTTTTCTCTGCTCAGTTCCGGTTCACACAGTCGCGGCATTTTGATGAGAGCGCAGCAGTAAAAACATCCACGTATGTATTCCTCGTGAATCTCTAAATAGGCCAATTAGAGGTAGATTAAGATCAAGGGTAGAACAACAGCTTCAAAGATAACCTTAGCTTATCGACCTACTGGACCAACAGCAGTAAACCTACTACTAGCTATACTTACGAATGGCAGATCACAGATAATGTGAGGCTGGATTTGACAGGCCGAGAATCGTGAGAAGGCCCCTGCAGAGGACATTCTTATAAAAACGAGCAGATATAATAAGACTAATTTAAACAGAAACAAAATAGTTAGGCTGCTGATGCTGTTAGTGATAGATTGATAGCTAATATTGTTGGTGTCACAGTTACCGTGTGCAATAAGGCACGAGTCCTTTTTGTTCGCAATTCGGAGCGGGGTTTAGACTGGGGTACGAGATGATTCTAATTAGCTCTTTTCGAATTTATCTTCTTTGCTAATATAAGTAAGCAAACGTTTTATGCACTCGACCAGGTTCCTAAGGAGCTGAAACCTCGTTGGCTCGCAACCTAGATAAAGGTTGACTTTTTTTTTTTTTTTTTTTATCTTATAATTACTTAGGGTGTAAGCTCAGTAGTCAGAGGCACTTGATCAAGACGTTTCTATGATGTCTATAGCAATACTCTGTGTATTTATGCGGTTACTAAAGCGACAAAATTAAATTACGAAGTACATGGAGTTGTATTTATTAGACAAAACAATCCTTTCCCAATGGCCGAAAGAGCGCGCCCGACGGGTCTGATTTTTAGTGAGACGTTACGTATGAACAAAATTGTATAACAAGCTTATAGGAAAATATCCTGTATCACTGAATACTAATAGTAGTACAAAACCATCTATTTTATTGTTGGTGAATTTTGCGAATCCCAGCAAAAGTTGTCTTAACTGATTATTAATGTATATTTAATTTTTTGATCTCTGTCTGTTTGGCATTTGAGTCGGACTTATGCGTGACCGAACTTCTGTAGGGAGATAAAAAAAAAAAAAAAAAAAAAGAGCTGTATATTAAAAATTTAATGAGGTACTTGTTGTTGGAAACAATGAATTGAACAAGTAGTTTATTAAATTTTTAATTAAATAAAAAAACGAAACGAACTATGTGTTATTCGACACCGATGTACATATGGCATTTAAATAAAGGATGTCAAAAAAAAAAATAACGCTTCCGAGTATTGTTTTGCAGAATGAGAAACTTCCAAAAAAGCTTCACCAATCGAAGTTTCACAACGCGCATTGTCTCGGTACTTAAAATTGCCGATGGCATAATGTTTCGGTGAAATACTTCATGACAGATTTTTCAGTTTGTGAGACCATCATTACGAAGCTACGAATATCGCTGAGAATTAAACCCGTACACATAAAGCCTATGACAAAATATGGGAAAATTCAGTAAACTTGTACATGATCTGATTCTAAATCGGATACTGGCAACTGCAGTCTGTGTAGCCACCTTTAATCAACCGCTGAGTCTAAGTACATTTTTGCAGCAAGCCTGATTCCAATGACGGGTGAGAACACGTGGTCCGCCGAAGTGTAATTCGCAAGATAGGGCAGCAAAATCCGAAATAAAATCTACGGGATTTGTCTAGAAACATATTCCAATCCAAGACAACTTGTTATCATCGTACTCCCTAGAGGCACAGCACGGCTTTGCCGCTTGTTGAGGGTACGCTTTATCAGCGCCGATTGACGGTGCTAGAGAACCACACTTCCAAAGTATAAAATCGATATGGCAGAAGTACCAAAAGCTAAATTAAGTTGGTGCACTTGAACTATAAATAGTCCAGACAGAATGAACGAAAGTAGGATTTGAATGCGAAACCGCTAATGTCCTGAACGAGCTGTGAACTGATAGCGTGTCAGCATTCGCTCGCTCTTTAGCCAATGTTCGTTGACACGGACTTCTTTTGGACTAGATTGAAAGGCACGGCAATTGTTCCTTCATTGAAGCCTAAAAAAAAGTTGACCCCTAACTGCTAACTACCGTCCAGTATCTCTGTCAGACTACCTATTATCGGTTTCCGAAAAAGAAATCACTAACAGATTTGACAGATATCTCAAAACTGCTGGATCCTTCTTGCGTGCTCGGTTTGTCAATGTGTCGGTCGATCGACGTGCGTCTATGAGATATGGCCATACATGATTATCGTCTGTATAGACTGAATGTGTTTAAAGTCTCTCAGTACGAAAACGATGCCGTCATACCTTTTCGTATTCAGCCTGTCAAGGTTGCCGGTCATACACGGGCTGCTTTTAAGGATGTCTTAATCAAGCAGAGCTGTAACCGTTTCATTTACCGCAAACGGTGATCGACATACAAGACGTTAGACTTGGTGACGACTCCGTTTCTATTGTTTCAAGCTTTTAAATGTTTGGCCATACATTACGAGCCGATCAAACGCCAAGTTCACTCAAACACTCAGACGCTCTCAGTATTTTTGATCAATCATCCGTTTGCGTGCTATTATAATGACAAAAAAAAAAAAAAAACATTGAAAGAAAAGAGTGTTCCAAGTATTATGTACTTCTCGTGCAGGAAGGTGGCAATTTAAGAGTATTCCGTATTACTCAAATCACCCAGAATGGTACTCTGCGGACAACGTTTGGCAGTACGCGAGGAGTCTCTGTGGATCGTTTTCGATCCCGAACGGACGGTCTATATCCTGCCTGTGCTCCAGATGTCAAAAGGTGTCATTCCGCATTTCTTTCCCGTTTACCTACGACGCCAGCCGATCTATTCATCGTGCAGCCTGTTTTAAGTTCCCTGTGTTGGTAACGGATCCAGTGGGCATGGTCTCGCTTGCCGCTTACCGTTCACACTTGTGAAGTCGTTCATACAGCTCAGACAAAAAATGAGATTCTGAAGCATGTAAACAACGTGTACATTGGATAATAAGGTGTACACATGTTTATCTGCCATTATTAATGTTCTAATAAAATGGTGTGAAATTGTTTTGAGGAATGAGATTGTATTGATTTTGAGCTTTTTGCATGAACCTAAGCGTTATTACAACAACACCAACTAAATTAACTCTTATACTGTCTTAGGCTAGAAAAAGATGGGGCGCAGCCGACCCTTACGTGATGGTAAAACGATCATAAGAAGCAGTGGTCACGACAAGATTAAGCACTAGGTGTATAAACCGACGACATTCAATTGTTAAGGAGTGGTCGTACTGCAATAAACCTTAGAGACGTCAGCATTTTCTTTACAAAGGTGATGTCAGTCGAATCATGGGAACGACAAACAGCAAAACGAACGCGCACCCCTCGCCTGAAAAAATGCAGACAGAGCAGAGAACAAACACCGAATGCATTTTCTCTTCTAGCATGACGAAAATGTCGAGGTAAATATGATCGACGGGATCTGATTGTCCACGAGGTTACACCTTGACTGGCAACGCATGATCATTAAAATGACTTTATCCTGTATTATATATAGCAATGGATGTAGGCCATTATAATTCTTTTTAAAAGCACTGTAAAACAGATCTGGTTTTAGGGCCCTTTTGTGAACAGGGTTGATAATATAGAGTTTCAATAGATAGGAGCCAGCATCGATATTGCAAAAAAAAATTGAAACGGCATAAACAGCGGTTTGGTATAGAGTATTCGAAAATATCGGGTAGATGCCATTATATTAGTATTACTTTGGAGCTTTAATTAAGAATATCATATAATTGGACATTCAAAGAATTCAAGCTGGGTTTTATAACAGTCCTCGTGTACCAAGGGAGTAAGCCCTAAGGGAAAAGGTCAAGACGTCAGCCTTTTCAACATCAGTAGCCGCAGACTCGTCAACCGACATTAGAACGAGTTAGCTGCAGTAGTTTTTAACCGGGCCTTGGCACACATTGTCAAAGACTGAATTTGGGTCCGCCCTACGGTGTACCAGCCTCTGTCTGACGTCTCGGGGATGAATTTACCAGGCGAGAAGTAGCAGCTTCCACCACAGGCTGACAATCACAGATTAATATGGTCTGAATGACTGGCCATGTTCGTTTTCCTTTAATTAAGTCATCAACCCATAGGTGAGAAATCCGTAAATTTTAACAGCTCCTGTCCCATTGATAAACGGATCTGTGATCCGTAGCGTGATAGCAGCGTAGCTATATCATAGTGGACAATGAACAAAGGTTATTATAATATATAAAAGCTATATTTTAATTTTTTATGATGACACACGTCAGTCAGCCAGACGAGCTAACAAAAAAGCCGTATATATATACACATTTATATATACATTGTTATGAATATATACGTATCCACTATACTAGATCTAGAATCAACTATAAGGGAACAATACACAATATTTTCATTCAGAATGACTAATTATGATTCATAGCTGGTGCTGGTGGTGGTGGTGGTGTTCTTGACCGATTCTCCCACAGTGGTCACGATCCGGTTTCTTTTTTGCAGTTGCCTGTGCCTAAAATAGAGTGAGGTAATTTATTAACTCTTATTACATAAATGCATTTATTTCAAGGCAGGACAAACCATTGTATTCAAAGTAGTAGTAAACTAGCTCAATAAAATGCATTCTGGAACAACTGGTTTTAGTAAATTAGCCATTTACCTATTAAACTAGCAGTATATCCGATATCTAAGTTACGCTTTGATGTAGACTTGTTACCAAGTGCTCGACGATGCAATCGTTATCGTTATCAAGAAGCAAGAAAAACAAAATTCTGTTTAGTTATGTAATACAATTTTTAAGTGCTCATATATAAAATAGGTGCTTTCGGGTCAGGACCAACAAGTGTACCTGTTAAGATTAGAATTATGATCATCTCATCAATGTTAATTCATGTTGTGCTATTTTCTAAATTATTGAAATAATCTTGCTAACAATATTATTTCAATAATGACTGACCTTCAACACAGCTAAATCGTTAATAGTACTAAGGATTGTTTGTTACCTACATTCGTGCTATCAGCTTCTCTCTCCGTATCCTTATTGTCCTCTGCCTCTTCGTCGTCCTCCGCCTTATTCTCCTTGATAACTTTAGTTTTGGGTTTGATGATAAGTTCGCTTTTGGCCTGCAGCGTAGGTTGAACGAATTTGACCGCTTCCGCATCGATCGTAATCGGCAAATATTATCGCTTGCCTTACTGTGTGTCTTTCGGCTGGTGCTGCCTATTATCTCGGCTGGCTCAACTATCGTGACAGACTTCCTTACAGTTGAACGTCCTTTTTTGACAACACCATTAAGCAGGTTACCCTGAACTTCAGCTATCGCCGGGCTCGTCCGATCGCCAAGCTTCGTCCTGCTCTTCGCGTCCATAGATACTTCGGTAAATGGCGGCACATCGATCGAGAAGTCCGTGAGCCTCTGGACGCTATTTAAGGCGAACTGAGGCAGAAACGCTTGGGCTACACCAGCAGCGTTTTTATAAATCGTTCCTTTGACATCGGCAGAGAGTCGCTCCGTATCTTTTACAGCTGGCTTGATCTGTTTTATGACTCGTTTCAAAATATCCCCAAATAACGCCACCTTATCGTGCAGTAGCACGATACCACCGGGACTGGATGTCAGTTTTTGAGCCGCACTCTGCAAATGCTTCAACACCGGCTCGAGAGGATTGTAAATGACTCCATCAGCTAATGCCCAGTTCAAAATTTTTTCTTGCTGTGCAATAGCGTCTTCGCATAGCTGCTTGACTTTCTGAATACGTCCCGCGAGGTCTGCTTCAAAGCCTGAGTCGAGTCTCAATCCAAGTTCCCTTACACGAAAACTCTTTAGCAGTCCCTCGACGCGCTCGAGTAGAGCCAGCTTGATTTCGACGAAGAAACTTAAATTGTGCTTTAGCCAACAGATAACCTTATCCTTCGTGGATGGGCTAAATCGAAGAAGTTCGAAATAGAACGATTTTCCTTTATCTCTAACTGGTGTGGTCTTAAGTCTGTCCGACGGCAGCTGATAGAGTCGATTAACTAATAGTTGTTTATAAGCGGCCAGACACTCAAATTTGGTTAAACTTGCGCATGCCAACTGGTCGGCGAATTGTAGGGGCAATGGCAATAACAGCACGATAGCCATCATCTGACTAACGAAATGAAGTGCAGTAACTTCTGCCGTATCTACGACCGGTCGCACCTTAATATAGAGACGGAACACAAACTCACCTGCATTTGACTTGTATATGTATATAGAAGCCGCCTCTAATCTTAAGGTCGTTCGCGAAAATTGCGGTTTTAAACTTAAGGATTCTTGACTGTACGACGTATCTGACACAGTTCTATCTACCTACCTAACTTGGCTATTCTAGTTCTACTCCTATTCAGCGTATGAGTCGAAGATGTAAGTGACATTGGTTCTGAGCAAAAGTTAGACTGTCGTAGCGGGGATAAAAAAAAACATCCTATCAAAAAACCTAAAGATGTCTTCGGCCGGTGATTCTCAATAGTTAGGGAGAGATTTTGATTAAAAGCGGAAAAATAATTTTACCATAGGTGGTGTGGCTTGCTTCGCGCGGCTGTACGAACTCGAAGTCCTAGTCACGAAGCGCTTAACAACACTAATGTTGATAACGCGTGGTATAAACTGTGAAGACGAGAGAAGGCTGTCGATTTGTATAGCGTCGTTCGTTGACTTCGACGTCTCATCGGAAATTTCCTGACAACATGCAGACTATGGGAGAGCTCATACTGGATAAGCGACTAAGACGACATATTTAGTCTGTGTATCTAGCATTCATATGACTCCTAGATGTCCTAGTAGATTATTTTATTCTCTACTTATCAAAATTCAATTGGTGAACATCGATGATCTGTACCATGGTTTGGCATACCACAATGCATAATACTTGAAGAATGTTACAGAGAGCCATTCAAGTAGGAAGGACGTCTTTTTAGTGCTTCAATATGACAGTTTCAGTAAACTAAACTAGCTAATAAAGCTTAAACCAAAAACTAACACCAGTTAGACGCATGGTGAAGGTCAGCTAAAACTTTATCTAAAGTCGCATGTTTCTGGGCGTGCGAAAGACTAGAATAATGTGAGCCGAACATTGGTTTTTCTAAAAAAAAAAAAAAAAAAAAAAAAAAAAAGGGTTGGAATTGTACCAGAACACTTGTTGTCCATTCAATACGATACCAGCGCTACAACGTTACCTATGACAGCAGACTGGTCGAATTGTTTCAAATACACGGCGTATATAAACCCTATAGCACGCAGAGCAGTCATTCGAATGCTTTTTTCTTTCGACATGTGAAAAATGGGAATAGCTCAGAACTTACTGAAACTGTTGTCATCCTGTTAAACTTCCTTTCGTGCTTTGCTAAGAAAATGTAGTAATCGAGTTACCAAAGATCTTCGCGATTCACAAATGTTCATCCAGCTTAACGTCGAACCACTGTCTGAAGCGCCCCTTAGAGGGCTGCACGCAATAACGCCCGTACACAGTTTCGGCAGTCGATGTGACTCTGATCTGCTACGACATCGTCAGAAATAGTTGTATACCCTGTGCACTTGCCGTCACACGTTCATCTACAGGTCCTAATAGAGATTAGCTCGTTTCGAACACGAGGATGTAACGAAAGCTGCAAAGTATACGTTCATTCATCACGTTACCGTTCAGACCGGCTTATGCGGTGACCCACTCAGTGTCAACAGCCAGATTGTATGCATATAGAACATGCCCTATATGAACGTACTACATATGGAGGGTCATTGCCCGATGGCTTTTATGCCTTCGTAAACATCCAGGAGGCCTCCATAGATATCTCGTAAATGACAGATAGATACGAACGTCAATGCCGTAGGTTACTGTTAAATAGTTACTGATCTCTAATTAATAGTATAACGTACTGTTACGATCATTATTTCCCGCTCCCGAGCTAGGCGTCTAATTAACAATACAATAAATTCTTTTTGTAGTCGTTTTTAAGGACGCACTAGTTTGGATAGGACCAAAGGATAGGGTCGGTTCGGTCACTTCTGTATCTGGTTCTTTTCAATATCATTGAAAAGGAAAATTCCATTGTGCGTAAGTAACTACTATTCTGTTTTTCTCACTGACCTGGAAGGACGAAAGTCCTTAAGCCGATTTTTACATCGAGCCTATCTCAGACACGCCACTAATGAGAAGCAGAAATTAACCAGTCGGTTGTATTCACAGTAAGTCATATCCTAAATGCCATAAAAACACAATAATATTTATGTCAGGCTTGGAAGAGGCTAAAAAACCACGATCATGCCAGGAACAGAACCGAATCGTCTTTTAATATGGAATACTTCAGCTGTATACAAACGTTCGTAATAACCACTAACATCCATAATAGTAAATAAATTGAAAATAAGACTGTAGTTAAAAACTTTGCTAGTTATCGTCACTGACCCATCGTTGAAGACGTATACTAATTAATTGCGCCTGCTTGAAAAAATGTCCTAATTCGACTATTTCATATAATAATACACACACGTATGAACTAGCTACGTATTCGAACTCTCAAGCTTGTAATTTGGGCTCACTGATTTTGCGGATACGCAGTGCTAGAATCACTTATTCGGGGTTGCGCTGAGCATCATGGCGCAGAACTTTCGCTGAACTTCTAAGAAGTTCAGCTTATAACCACATCAGCACTAGGTCTTTTACAAATAAATAATTCTCAGAGACAGTAAGCAACTGTGTGGCCAGTAGTAGTAAACGTAATTCATATGGATCGTATCGGCACACAAGGCAGGTGCTTTGACCATTGCGAAGTCGCATAACTTCCTCAGGAGGCTTTCAGCTTCGTAGCGTTAAATTATATGTTGAAGGGCACAGTATATCTTGGGATATATAGTAAGTGACGAAAGCTATTTTTCTATTGGATGTCGAGCGTCAACAATATAAATAGTTCGCCTGAGAGATAACCATTTATATAACTGATCATCATCCTATACGATACGACGAACATACAGCATTGCTGTCTTATCAGCTCATCAATGCTGGATGGCCACTTTGCTAAGCTATATTCCACAAACTGCGCTGCACTGCTAGAGGGACTGTGCTTAAAGAGGATAAACACAAACAAGAGAGCGCGATCTTATAGAACAGGTCTTTGTCGTAGCTTCATCTACTGCAGGTTATTCAAGGCTTACGCTCGAACAAAACACAAGACGAAAGCTTAAAAAAAAACATTAAAGTTTGGTAATCAAGCACTCTTTCTCCTCAGTGGAGTAGAGCAACTCTTCTAATTTATGCTACAGGCAACGGCGACCCAACCCAGCCCACCTTCTGAGAGGGTATTTAAAAAAAAGTCCTTTACTATAGTCTTCTTTCTTATTTTTAAGCGAGTTTTTGAAAAATAGTATGGCGATTCCCTAAAAATGACACGAGTTTAAAAAGAACTATTCATAATTTGTTTCGTACAGAAGCCACAATTTCTGATCGCACAGACACGAAGAACACAGGCAGGCAAGAGCTGATGACAATGTCGTCAATCAGGGACCCCCAGCGCTTTTATCTTTAGATCACTGTGCGTCTATTTGGCTTAAAGGTCACCCCTTGGCCGCATATAAGACATGACATAATTTAAAGTTTGTAACTCGCAGTTGACTTTTAGTTACTAATTTCATTGTACAGAGTACGATGACCCCTGAGCACTGAACCTTCACGTATGGCCGCAGTGGTCATCCGGGAGGAGGCCTACGGCATAACTAGGCGCATTTCAGTCTTCCGCCAAAACCCGTGAAAAGCAGGCTGACACTGCAGAGTGTTAGCCCCTACACTGCGAATTAATCTCACGCTAGCATTAAGTTGATGCGGTGCACAACACGTGCTACAAAGCCACCTCCCTTAGTGTTCTTTGAGAAAATCCAGCCCTTCTATTGGAAGGGTTTATATATCGTCATTCATGCACGACTGGATGTGATTAGGACTAAACTAATTTTATGTAAGCCGAATGAGGGCCCCGACTGCCAAACCTAGACCTGATTTGGCCAAGACTACGACTCACTGATACTTAGTTCTTCCCTTATGCTTTCCTTTACACTAGCCCAAATCTACTTTTAATAGAAGTACCGTTTAGAAGCAATGAGTTGCAGATGCCACCGATGCAGGGTAGCTAGGCTTCCACCGCGCCAGACGAAACAGGTCCTTGGGGCAAGGCATGACTTGCTATTTGATGCATGGACTAGTAGAAGTCCTCTTTCTTTATGTGGAGCAGAGTGGGGTGGCAGATGGGTTCATCTCTCGTCCAGTCCAGATCACGCAGGAACGCTTTCTTTAACCGTAGAGTCTGAAACACCACGAATTTTAGCAATCTGCGCAGAAGTTGGTGGGATAGTCCAAAGTTTCACTGCAAAAGAGGCAACGGCCTCGTTTACCGACATCAGCAGCCTCCGTTTTCCTGCCATGGGTCGGTGAAGGTTTAGCATCGATCCGATTTCGAACGATGCTTTCATTGCTTTAGCGACTGCTTACCTAATATGAAGGATTCGTTTCATTGCTTAGTACATGTAAACTTCTAGATACCTGGCTTATTTCGCCATTCTGCATTAGAGGAATATTCGGGTGAAGCTTAACTTCTATTCACAGCTTCTAACTTAGCCGGGGCTTGCCTGAATCTGCTCTCCTTTATCCATAAGAATAACCTGAGTAAAGCCGGGCTTGCCTTGCGCTCCAAGCTGTTCAGATGTCGCCTGTACAGCGATAGATCATCGACATACGTCAAAAACTCAAATCTCGAAAGCAAGTTTTGTATATGAAGGATGTCGTTGTAAGGAAGATTCCACAAGACGGAAACAAGTATGGAACGTTAGGGGACTTCTCCAGCGATAACAAAGGTTGATTGCGACCTGTCGTTTGTCGCCATCTACTTCGCTATAGCTCTGTTCTTGCAACCGGTTCGGAAAGACCTTTATTCCTTTAAAGCGCTATTAAGATCCATCGAGACCACGAGGACTTTCTCCGCTAGATATGTGAGCGATTCCGCTACGCTATCCAGGAGATCAGCTCTTGCAGGGACTCGCTCAAACTATTGTAGCGTGAGTAGAAGCGCTTCATCCGCCTAATGTATATTCATAAGAAGCTTTTGCCGTTTGGGCTGCTGGTGAACGCATTGCCCCTATATACTATGCCCGTTGCATGCAGGGACCATCCTTTTATTTTCGTTGGCACAGCAAAACCAGCTGTCACATCTTTTTGTCATATATATCTCTGAGGAAGATGTATAGCTGCCTGGTAAAACTGCAGTTTACTTGATTTATTTTAGACATTAAAAGTACCAAGGTCCTCTTTGCTTGTTGCTAATTGTCCTTTGGGAAGCAGCGCCGCATCAGATTTTGTTTCTCCGCCGCCGTCGTCCCTTGCTAAAGTCTATTGGTATTCTCAGCCTCGGCGGGCTCTTATCTACATCGAATTATGTAAACCGTTTTTATAATCCCCTAAAGCCTATTCCATTATACATGAGTTCTTAGCCTTACTGCCCCCAGCTGTCTTGCTTTTTACGCTGGGCAGGTCACTACGTTTGCGGTATGGCCAGCTCTCTCACAATTATAGCAAGTAGTTCGTCGTTGCAGCCCTTGGCAAAATAGTCCAGGGTACCGTACCTATAACCCCTCTTTCTTTTCACACCTTCTTCCCATTCGCTGACCCATATTTAAGGCAGAAAAGAGGTCTGGGCAAGACACCCTGCTGATGAGTAACCTATCTTTTCCTAGCGTTTTCTCCGCAGCATTTTTATGCGTCCTTTTAACCCACAAGAGCGATAATACGCAGAGCCGGATCGACGTCTAGCAGAAACTTTTTGAAATCGTCGGCGCCCCTTAACTCCTATCTCCGCCTTTCTCAGGATTATTGTGCTGCACTGTGAGTCTTTGCGTGTTGTGTAGTATTCCAAATTTGAACCTCGCTTGTTATCGATAATGGCTACTTTCACCGGTACACTTTTCACGATAGGTTCCGAGAACTTTTGTTACCGGCCAGAGCTGCAAACAAGATAGCCTGAAATCATCTCACCGCTTATTCAGTCCGTAACACATTGGCTAACCGAATGAAACATGGTCTCTATTAGAGATGCGTATAGTTTAATGCTCGCTTGTTCTGCATCGACAGTTTCAAAAAGACGCATCGCCTTCACCGATTCTTCTCCAGATCCGATAATTAATTCGATGACAAACTTAACAGCTACTTCGTATCCTTGTCCTTTGGACCCTGGAACGTGTTAGGTATGCTTCTCAAAAAAAAATTCGTCATATGGGTCGTTCTTTCCAGTTGTAACGATTGTGACCGGACTTTTTTTTTTTTAACTATACTGATTCCAGGCCATGTAGAGCGGCTATAGATACTATCGGGCCATTTTTCAGAGGAACGACATTAAATAGGTACCCTCTACAGGCCGAAATCCCTATGTTAATCCTAATTA